TATACTACTTATATCGTTCGAATAAGTAGCACACACCACACTAGCACTAAATGGCTGTTCACAGATTCTTAAGTTTCAGTCATTTCCTATTATTTGTTTCTCTGTTTGTCTAAATTTAACATCGAGAATGTTTCCCTATTTTATCTCATCATATAGATAGGCTTCGTGAGAACTTTCTCGAAGTTCTACTGAGTAGCTATGATCAGTTGAGTTCAATCTTGTAGAGGATGAGGCAGTTTACCCACCGAATACTACAGATGATGGTCTTGGCATATTGTGGATTAACTGAAGTTAGACATTAACACTATTTTGGGACTAAGCGTTCTTTCGCGAAACCGTAGGTCCTAGGTTTCGATTTTTCAAGATGAGTATCATACTTTGGAGTAACAGACGTTCCGTGTTTCCAGGTTCCTGATAAAACCCAGGTATCTCCACCATTCTAAAGTGACATATTTATTCTGCTCAACTACAGTATGTAAAACTTTAGTTTCCGATTTAAGTTACTCACATGGTAGAGTAAAACTGAATAATTCCAACTTTGAACAAATAGATGGTCATTGTATAATCAAGAAGCCTATCCCCTTTTATTCACATTAGATTTAAGAAAGTGATTGACAGAAATTCATGCAATTCCTGAGTTGTGTATCAGTCACTGTTATGATATTCATCCAATATCCTAAGAGAATTATTAGTCAAGTCCTATTGGTTAATTCCTACTGGTCAGTTTAATGGTCGTCCTAGATATATTGATGTTATTTCTTATCGGTTGTCCTGACTATCAATGTCACTTCAAATGTTACTTCCTATTGGTCGTCTTAACTGTCAATGTCACAGACTTCGATGCTGTTTCACATTCGACCAAAATGTATAAATACGCATTATTTGTAACGCTTTATGACCAGGACCAGCGACCGGTGTAGGATCCGTAGTCCGAGATCCTAATTCTCTTCTGGATTCGGACCTCGTACTTTCTAGATGCTTGCAGAATACACGTTCTACTTCATATCATGTCTTCTTATTTTAACTAAAAATGGGGGTTGGGATAATCGGATTTGAGTAGTATGTCGTGTCGCCGGATCCTCGCTCTCGTTTTCCGACTAGATAAACTCGTAATAGTTCAAGCATATCAAGTTGACGTGTCTACGTGCAGACGTAACAGTCACTATTCATCAGTTGAGCACCCCCAAATATATAAAGGAACTGACACTCTGCATGTTACTCAAATATGCACCACCGAAAGTTATGTATCGCAATGTTACCGTTAAGATATTCGTTCTAATGATTTTTTTCTGGTAAGTGTTTTCTAGCGAGTTTATTTTCTACGGAATAGGCGTACTAATCTCTTGCCAAATCCTCCTGGTTTATCCAGGTTTGGGAGCGCCATTGACCCTGGAAAGGCTTCAACCAGAGTTAATAGTCGTACAGCATGATAATTATCGATAGACAAGGAGAATCTAATGTAGTAGTGAAGAGGTATTTCTACTATTAAACAGCATTTGAAACTCAAAAATTCATCTGTAAACAAACACTAAAATCACAGTTTCAATACTCACTCACGTCAAGACAGTTCTGTTTTATGGAGTGAAAATATGGCGAATAGTGAAAACTATCATTCGAAAGATACAGATGTTGATAGACGTTTATTTACACAAGATACTGCGAATCCATTGACCTAACACTATTGACAATAACCTACTGAATGAGATAATAAACCAGTGTCCTCCGGCTGAAGAAGAAATTAAGAAGCAATATAGAAGGTGGATAGGCCACATATTGAAGAACTTAATGAATTGTCTCACGGAGCAAGCCTCAGCTTGGAATCATCATTTTGAAACTTGTAACAGTTCAAGCATATGAAATGAACGTGTTTACGTGCATACGTAACACTAACGGTATCCTGTGTTCCTTGCAGATTAATTATATCCGAGCAACAAAATACCCGTGATTATGAAAAAAAGAAATTATCCCACCAGATAACTAGGTTCTTTATTTATGAGAGACCAGCAGATTTTCTTATTTTTCTGTAAATTCTATTAACGACTGACTGGCTTCCTCGTAAACTTGCTGTTACAGTCTGATGATCATGTATGTCTATCTCCTTCGGATTTAGTTAGTTAGTTATCAGATAGCTTGTGAGAAGGCAGCATCGCTGCAGATGCTAGTTGTCCGAGGCAAACTCCTTACTGTTGTCACATCTCTCAACAGTCAGTAGTACAACTTCGCCCTCAGACCTTGAGTAACTGTTTTTAGTCTCAACGTTCTCCAGTCGACCTGCTTGGCATGTCACAACCTACAGGAACATATATTACAGCCAATATATAGCTCGGGTCGGGTCATCAAGACAGGCAAGCCCAACCGCCACATCAAGGTAACAGCTAGAGTCGAGATTCACAATTATATAAAATTAACCCTCTATTGTCAAGGGCAATTTTACATTCGTTTTCAGGTGAACCAAGGACGACATGAGCAGTTCAGCTCAATCTCATGGGTGCAACCACACACGTTCCTGACAGATACCCTCCCTACCTTCTTGGTGGATCAAACCCCGAAAACACCAATCCAATCTAATTCAAGCAGAAAACAAATATGATAGGTTGGAATGATTTGATGCATTTACAAAATTCTTCTCCATAAATAAATAAATAATAAAAACAAACAGAAAACTTAGTTATTATTTACAACAAATGTACACAGTATTATAAAATGATAAGTAGCAATACAAAACAACACTGTAACCGAACTGATCCATTCCAGATTCACTAGTTATAAACACGTAGTGGAGGAAGGGAGGGAGAGATCATCGACACTTAATTCACTTGAAGTTGGAATGATTATATGAATGTAAATTCAAGGAGGAGATGATACTTGAGGGAAATAGGCCGACGCTAGTGATTGTTGATGATACTCTTCATCATTGATAAAATCAACGGGTCCGGAACATTTGGTTGATGGTAATTTGTGATTGGAATTGCTGCGTAGTTTAACAGTGCAATTGGTCAATTTTGTAGTTGATATGTTGTCAGCTAATTGAGATGGATTGCAAGAATTTGAATTACGATCTATAAAATATTAGAAAAAAATGAGGAGAAAAATGTTTATGAAATCATTTTCAACTGTAAATCTGAAACAATGCCGAGAAATAGAGAAAGATATGAGAAGAATGAACATAAATTGGACAGAATTGGAAAGGGAAGCCCAAGGCAGAGTTGGTTGGAGAAAACTGATGGGCAGCTAAATGCTCCATTGGGGGTAACAGGCGAAAATAAGTAAGTAGGTAAGTAATCTGAAGCATTATTTTGCATTTTGACAAGGGAAGGAGAATCGCATCTCCAATATGTTTGTATTGTGGCTTGTTGTGATTAGAAGACTGAATTTCATCAGCGTCTTCAGTAAATAGAACAATGTCATCGGCATATTGTAAGTCAACAAGTGAGTTAGTTTTCTAGTAGAAGGTCAACAACTCCTGAAAAGTCAGATGATGAAAGTGTCGTCTCTAGAAGCATGTTATCGACAAAGTTGAATAGGAATGGAGAAAGTGGACATCGCAAACGAACACCAATTGACATTTCGACACGAATTCTCTCTCATTCGACCAGTAGTGTTTGAGTAGAGAACTTGTACAAGATTAGTTTACTTCCTTGGTAAACCTTTCGATGACAGACGCTGACACGGAACTTAATGATCCACAGAGTGAAACGCTGCCTTAAGGTTGAACAATAAAACTATTGTCGGACGTCTGAATGTATCTGTGTTCTAGAACCTGACAAAGTTTGAATATCTGGTCTACATAGCGACGTCCAGATATGATACCAAACTGATTTTCTCGAGCTCTAGTTGGACGTCAAAGTATTATTAAAGCTCGCAGTTTACATACTATATTAGTTACGCTGATCTCTTAATCATTGTTACCATAGGACTTCTGTCTTTTCTTGTAGACTGTGACAATCAGTGATTGAGACCAGTCAGATGGGAGGATTAAACGCAGTTACTAGGTTCTACCTAACATCTTAGTCCATCTCACTACTGAAACTCAACCACCATCCTTAAAAGTCACACGTTTAATCCGTCACGACCTGCTGCCCTTTCTCACTGTAAAATTTCCAAAGCCTGTTCAACTTCATTAACAGTCAAAAAACTTACATCATCTTGCCATTAAGGTTGTCTGCAGGGCAACAGAAGCATAGCTCAAGGCCAGTTGATCAGCCTCCTCCTCAAAATCTTCTCCCTATCAACCGAATTCCTTCAATTGAGAGGGCCTGATTAACAGTTGGATTCCTAATATTAATTTCCTTGTGAATAGTCGTCTACCGTTAAGTCAAGTTAGCAACTATACAGTCCAGTTAACTACCTGAATATATGTATATATATTGTAGTTTTCAAAAACTCAATCAACTGTACTTTTCTTTTGATTGTTTCTACAATTACCAGACAATGAACTTCCATTCAAATAACATATAAAGGCTTCTCTGTCAAAGATACATACTATGGACATTCACTATTCATATCATGAATTCAATGCTTATAATTATGATCATAAAACATGTATCTTCAGTGTGAAATGTCTTCATCACTTTAAATACAGTAGGATGATTCAGTAGAAGTAGTAGTGTGGTGCGCACTACTCATAAGTAGTATATGACGCGAGTGTAAACGTAATGTCTGGCAGCAGAAGATGGGGGGAAGATCAAGAAAGGAGGAAGAGTTAGAACACAATGGAATTTGTATGAAACACATGAATAGTGAAATGTCAAACAATGGATTGATGATGGATTGAAGATTTGCAAATTAACAACGATTACGATATGGTTTTCCAATTTTACTGAGTAACTCTGTAATTTCGCTAAATACAATTCGGTTGCCCCACCTGTGTTCTCGTTCACTACAGTAGTAGCGTTGTTCTATTTGAAACGTTACAGTATTGAAATTGATTATCTACAAAATCAATGGTAATAATAATAATAACTAGAAAGAGAAATATGTAACTAAGCAAATAAGCTTACAATTCAATGCATCTGTAACAAGATATAAATCACAATTTTCTTTAGGATTCACACAGTTGGAAGTGGTTAGCGGTAAATGAGTTGAAAGTATTGTAGGTGGGAAATTCTAAAGAAAAAAAGTAAAAAATAATTGTTATAACATTACAGGGTTGTGAAGATGGTTAAGTAACACACATTTTGAAATTATGAATTGATAATTGTTAGATCACTATTAGAAACTTGGAAGCAATGAAAGACGGCCGTTTCATCCTGGTATGGACTCATCTGTGGCAGTGAGTATCCACATCTCACAGGATTTGAACCCAGGACCCTCGGTCTTGCGCACGAACGCCTAACCTCTAGATTACTGAGCCGGTATCTAACGGTGTGAATGTCTAACTAATATCAATTCACGGAGTTGCGCAACCTCAAACACTGTTTTCGATAGTTACTGTCTACACCCGAACAGGTTGTGAACTTCATTGGTCACGAATTCCCACTAGAACTCGGAGAAGATTCCTTACGGAGCTAGTCACTAGTGAGCACATTACGGGGTTGTGAAAATTGTTGTTACACATTTGAAGTCATGAATTGATCTCTGTTATACCACCATTAGAAACCTTGAAGTAGTGAAAGACGGCTGATTCGTCCTGTTATGATCCAGAGGTTAGGCAAGAACGAAGGTCCTGGGTTCGAATCTTGCGAGGTACAGAAGTCGTGGATGAGCACGGCTGATGAGTACCATACCAGGACAAAACGACTGACTAGTGCTTATAGGTTTCTAACGGTGGTCTGACAATGATTAACTATTAAGACGATGGCTTGGTATTGTCTGAATGAAAAAGCTTGTCAAATGCAGAGGTGCATAAGTATGTACGAAGAGGAAGAATAAATTCTGATATTGACGTTTTCATTTGATACACTGATTACTTGTTTCACAAATTTGTTGGGGACGTTAGATCCCCAAAACTCTCTTGTTAAATTCCTTATTCGGATTCTACGTTTGCCAGCATGGGCTGATCAGTTGACACTGAGATTTCACTTCCCACCAGGAAAATTCTGAGCTATGATTGGCTGCTGTGTATTTTAGTGTGCTATTTTCGTAACTGTCCCAAGGACGTTTCTATGATGTATAAATAAACGAGATTTGTGTGCGTGATTGTACTGTGCTTGCTGGATGTTTGTAGAATATACTTTCTACGCTGTATAAAGACTTCTTTGTTAGTCTTTTTAGTCACCGGATCACATAGTAGCCTACCTGGACGCCGGTTCATTGTCTCGTTCTCGTTTATCAACTAAGGTGAACCCGTAATAGTTTCAAGCATACCTAGTGACGAACCTAACAAAATCCTTATCCTTAAAATATATGTATTGAGTAAATGTGAATCAAACTTCTTTTTCGACCAACTATTTTGATTAGAATGGTTTTTTTTCTGTGGAACAAAACCAAATCTACACAACGCTTGTGCTGTGTGTATCAATAACTAGATCAACCACACCATATATAACTACTAACTGTGTATTGTCTTGCCAATAGCAGCATTGTGTTGAATCGTTTGCAACAATCCGAAACGTGGTAGTGAGTGAACACCAACAATTTATAAAACACATCTACTGACTACTGTATAAAAATGTCAGTAATATTAAACGATTAAAAATCTCTATGCATTCAGTAGATTAAATCGCTACCTACGAGTTACTAGTAAATAAAATTCACAAAGAATCAATCGTGATGCAAATCACAGATCATGCGACTGTATTGTAACTCCATGAAGTCACTGACAAGTGGACTGAGTTATGTTGGTAGATGTAGACTACCTGGGGTCCGCGAGACGTATGTCACCAATGGTTAGAGACCTTGAACGACATGGCTCAAAGTCATTTGCGATGGCGCAGATGCATCCATTCTTTGTATTCTCTCAAATTCTAATCTTCTAAATTCCTCATCATCTCTATTTCTCTCTCTCTAAATTTATCTCACTGAATTATACTTCTCGAATCATATCTTCGCTCCCTAATCTCCATTACTGCTAATACTTCTACTATTGCTACCACTATTGGATTTGAACTGATAGTTGCGTCTCTGTGCTAATGCGGTATGGCAACCTGAACTGATGTATGTACGTACGAAGTTCTACGTTGTAACTGAGTGACTGACTGATTGTAACCCCAAATAGTGATATAACAAGATGCAGTTAAAGATACTTTAAATTCGACCAAAAGACCATAGCCATGAATTCCAGGAAGTACTTTCACTTCCAAATTCGCTTGAAGTTACTTGAGTTTTCAGCCGATTCGCCTAATTAGTCTTTTAAATGCAAAAACAGACCAACGAGAAAAATAAATGCCACAGTGTTTCAATTGTTACAGATCATATCATGTGGCAGGGAAATCAAAATAATGATGTACACTCGCCTCTTTTCGTCAATTAGATAGTGACGATACGAAAGTCAATTCAATTTTATGAGATTTCAACGTGTACAAGGAATAGCAACATGATCTGCAAGAAAACCAAATCAGATACTGTAAGCGGGACATAGATGGATTAAAGCATGACTGTGTTAGCTGCGCGCTGATTGGCTAATTCCCATCCAATTAGCGCCTGGTCGATACTTGGGGTATATTCCAGAAGCTTCTCAGGTAAAAACTATAAATATACTAACGTTGTTCTCTATTTGACCTTTGCTTCGGTTTCTTACTTCTATTTAACCTTGCTATTTAGAATATAAATCTTTTTCCTATTCAACTGTGTTCTGATTTGCGGATATGTTGAGTGTACTGTAGTCAGAGAATATACTAAGCAATAGGAATCAGCTGGTATTTACTAAGAAAGAAGTTTCATAGGCTAAATATGACAAGTCATAATATACCTGAAGAAGACAAGCTATTCATTTAGTTGGCCTATGAGCGAGCGACATGGAAAATGCATGTGTCTCAACTGCTCTTCTAATATACCCGCTGAAAGGTGATACTCATAAGAAAATATTGAAACCCATTCTTAATGAAATATGACAAATAAAGAGAGGGAGAGAGATGTTGCTTGACCTGATTGTTGCAAAAAGGAGAGCGCGAATACGGTACGACGACAAATAGTATACATGAATGTAATTAATCTTACCAGTCAGTACATAATAAATAAAAATATCCTTACCGTGTTATCCATTATTGCAGAAGGAACACTTTTCGAACTGGTTGGTAGATCTAACAGCTTTTTATCAACTGTTTGTAAGGTATTGTTGGTATTTGTAGAGGAGAACACTGTGACTGGTGTATGTGTGTTAAGTAAAGAGACCATATGAGAAGCTTGTGAATGTGGCGTTAATGATACACGTGAAGGAATATTTTCCATTGCTGAGGATTTATCATTTCTAGGAGAGGCAATTGTATTATTTGTAGTAAGGGAATCAATTACTCCAGAAGGCATACTGATTACTGGAAAAGTTGACAACTTCAAACGATTTTGTACATAACCCGAATCATTTTCGGCAATCTGTCGATTTAACCAAGCGATAACTGCAAAATATTTAGGTAAAATCAAAGAGTTATCATAGGTTTTAATAAAATCAAAACGATGCTTCAATGCAATACTAATAAAAACCTTTATTGTCCTAACAGATTAATTGTCAAGTAACACTGTCTTCTAGGAATCATCATCAATGTTCAACAACGTGGAGTTTGATCGATTTTACTACGTTAAGTAAATTCCGTGTAAAATTATCTGCCTTAAATAATGATAATGTGACTGTTCAGCATAAAATAGCTCATCAGTTTGCTTGTAACTAAACACAATTTAATTACTATATTCGTGAAAACCACACACTATCTCAAAAGTTTGGCAACAATTATAAAAACAGCCAGGACAAAACGGCCGACTAGTGCTTCTAGGTTTCTAATGATGGTCTAACAATGATTAATTATTAAGACGATGGCTTGACATTATTGTCTTAATGAAAAAGCTTGTCAAATGCAGAACTGCATAAGTATATACGAAGAGGAAGAATAAATTCTGACAGTGATGTTTTCATTTCATACACTGATTACTTGTTTCACAAATCTGTTAGGGAAGTTAGATCCCCAGGATTCACTTGATACATGCCTTAACTTTGGATTGTATGATTTCGAGCATGGGCTGATCAGTTGATCTTGAGATTTCATTTCCCACCAGGAAAATCCTTGGCTGTGATTGGTTGATATCTTATTTTAGTACGCTGATTTTGTGACTCTCTCAAGGACATTTCTATGATGTATAAATAAACGCGATTTGTGTGCTTGAGATCATTACATTTTCTGGTGTGTTTGTAGAATACACTTTCTACGCCATATCAAGAATTTTTCTTCAGTTAGTCGGGGAAACGAATCAAAGTAGCCTACCATGTCACTGGTTCATTGTCTCGTTCTCCTTTATCGACTAAGGTGAACTCGTAATAGTTTTAAGCATATCAATTGACGAACATAACACACTGATTTGAAAATTTTTAGTTTCAGACCTTTTCTACTTCAACAGAAATCTGCTGTGATTCTTTCATATATGAAAGACATAGAGAGCTGTTAAGTATTGATTTCGACAAATGTTTTCAAAATTTTCAAAGTGTAGATGCACTACTACTGTGGTGCGAGCTACTTACAAGTAGTATATGACGCGGGTGTAAACGTAATGTCTAGCAGCAGAAGATGGGGGAAGATCAAGAAAAGAAGAGTGGGAACACAATGGAATTTGTATGAAACGCATGAATAGTGTAATGTCAGACAATGGATTGATGATAGGTTGAAGATCTGCACATTAACGGTGACGATATGGTTTTCCTATTTTATTGAGTAACTCTGTAATTTTTGTTAAATACAATTCGGTTGCCCCACTTGTGTTCTCGTTCACTACATTTGGTGTCGCTGCCTGCTCGAAGGAAGGAGTTCCCGTGGCCGAAGGAGTTGGAGGACGGAGATTTGTGGAGCCAGACATATACATAGGATTCATTCGATTGACAACAAAGCACTTTTTTTGTACATCGTAATCAATCTCTCGCACAAAACTTACTTGTTTCATTTGACTTAATTGTTTTCTCAGCATCTTCTAAATTTTGCACGGTTTGATTATGCTCTTCAACTAACTGAGTATTTTGTTTTTTGACATTTGTGATTTCTGCTTCTAACTTATCTAATTTAGCTCGTAGTGTTCGGATTTCAGTGTCTTTTGAAACTAGTAAACGTTCTTGTTCCATGGCTACTTGACCACGTAATTTAGCCTGAACAAAATAATGTTTACAGAGAAAAACAAATTTTTAAGTGTATTATTAATTGTGATCGACTGAAATATTTCAGTTGTAATTAAATTGTCAGTACGAATTATATCATACTAAATCATATTTTTTGACAGCTCACAATGAAAGCTAAACAAATGATATTTTCTGTTAGCGGGATATAGATGGATTAAAGCATGATTGCGTTAGCTGTGCGCTGATTGGCTAATCCCTATCCAATCAGTACCTGGTCGATACTTGGAGAGCAGCTGATTGGCTGAATCTAATCCAATCAGCGCTAATTGATACGTGGAGCACGTTCCAGAAGCTGCTCATGTAAAAACTATAAAGATACTAACGTTAATTCCTATTTGGCTTTCGCTATGGTTTCTTACTTCCATTTAACCTTGCTATTTGGAATATAATCTTTTCCCTGTTCAACCGTGTTCTGATTTGAAGACTTGTCGAGTGTATTATTGTCAGAGAATACACTAAGCAATAAGTATTAGCTGGGTACTATGAGAGATTTATAATAAATTCAATTCTGATTTGATTATAATGACAGCAAAGGGGTTCTTCTTCTGATCAGTTATAATGGTATGAGTCAAGACAGAACGCAATTCATCCGCTAAATAATAATACAACATAATGATTACTGTGTATTGTTATCGAATGCTTTTTCATTGACTACGAGAAAGCATTCGGTAGCGTGGACTGGACAACACTATGGAGGCTTCTTCGACACTACGGTGTGCCTGAGAAGATAGTCGACATTAAACGGAATTCTTATGATGGATTCAACTGCAAAATCGTGCACGGAGGACAGCTGACAGACTCATTGGAGGTGAAGACCGGTGTCGCACCAACACTAATCCATCTTCCTTTTCAGGTTCGTCAAGAAACAACCTTCCACGGTGTGGGCAGCCGGGAAGTGATAACCGCCCTCATACCCGCAACAGCACACGAGACAAAATTGTTCAAAATCAAATCCTTCCTACATTCCCTAATACCTCTCTTATCTCCACAACTAACTCTTCTCACATTCATTTATCACAGTGCACAGCTAATGCAAACGATGCGAGTTTGCGAAACGTCGTCCCTGGTCTCCTTAAACCCCGTTCCAAACTACATGTTGGAGCATTCAATGTACGGACATTGTGTCAAATAGGGCAACAGGCGTCATTAGCTAGGACTTTAGAATCTCGTTCCATCGATGTGTGCTGCGTCTCGGAAACGCGCATACAGGATCCGAGTAGCATCACTCATTTGACCTCACCATGTCAAGATAAAGAAGCAGCTCGATTTACCCTTCGTGTATCCGGTAGCCCTGATGCTGCTTCTAGGGGCCTCGCCGGTGTAGGTATAGCATTGAGTCGTAGGGCAGAACAATCTCTCCTTGACTGGATCCCTGTAGATAGTCGCTTGTGCGCCGTCCGACTGAACGGGACAGTAAGGACTCGGAAAGATAGGGACACTCGCCGTTGCCTCTTCGTCATATCAGCCTACGCCCCCACTGACTGCAGCCCAGATGATGTAAAAGATGAGTTTTACAGAAAGCTTTCGGACCTCCTCCAAAAAGTTAAGCGCTCTGATATAGTTATAATGGCTGGTGACTTCAATGCACAAGTAGGTAGACTGAGTGAAAATGAAAGACACCTAGGTGGATGTTACGGTCTCGCGGCTCAAAGAACAGACAATGGCGACCGTCTGTTGCAACTGTGCTCAGATAACCAACTATTTCTAGCAAACACTAATTTTAAGCATAAGGAAAAACACCTTTTGACCTGGCGACCCCCGAAGTCGTCTCAACGTTGGACACAACTAGATCACATTGCCATCAGCCACCGATGGAGGGGTTCGATAGAGGACTGTCGCTCGTTCTGGGGCACATGTTTAGATTCAGATCATGCCCTATTGCGAGCACGTATTTGTTTGAGGCTTGCTGGACGTAGGAAAGACACCGTAAGGAAGCCTCTTAGGGCTTTACTTGATGATAATCAAGCTAAGAAAATATTTCATGAGGAACTAGAAAAACAGTTGGGCGATCATGCAAGTGATTCCCATCCGGAGTCAGGTTGGAATGATATAAAGAAGGCTGTGGAAACAGCAGTGATATCTGCTAGCAAGGTAAACCATAAGGCTAGGATGAAGCCGTGGATTTCAGTCGCATCCACCGAACTGATGGATGCTCGAAAACGCATCCCACCTGACTCTGAACATGATGAACAGCGTACTCAACTTAGGCGCAGACTTATAAAAAGCCTACGTAACGACCGTGAACAGTGGTGGGTGGCGAAAGCAAAAGCGATGGAAAAGGCAGCGGCGATAGGCAACACTAGACAACTTTTCCGCCTTATCAAAGAAACCGGTATTAGGAACCCGAATGTAAGTGAGACTATCTCGGAAAAGGATGGTCTTATTATCCATTCTCAATCTAGGAGGCTGGACCGATGGGCAGAACACTTTAGGGATCAGTTCAACTGGCCTTCAGCCACTCTTCGGTTGCCCACGATCTCCAGTCATCCTGAATGGCAAATCGATTTAAGTCCTCCCAGTTTACATGAAGTTGAGAAAGCTATAGGAAATCTAAGGAGAGGTAGAGCGCCAGGTCCCGATAGGCTTACCCCTGAGATGTTTAAGGATGGTGGTCCAGTTTTAACGGTTAAACTGACCGAGATCCTAGGTAGAATCTGGGAACTGGACGTAATCCCATCTGACTGGTCTCAGTCGCTAATTGTCCCAATCTACAAGAAAGGACAGAAGTCCTCTTGTGACAATCACAGGGGAATAAGTTTAACTAATATAGTTTCTAAATTGTTAGCCTCGATTATACTTAGACGTCTAACTAGAGCTCGTGAAGAGCAGACTCGAGAAAACCAGGCTGGTTTTCGACCTGGACGTGGTTGTATAAACCACATCTTCACACTACGACAGGTCCTGGAACACAGACACACATTTAGACGTCCGACAATAGTCGTGTTCCTCGACCTTAAGGCGGCATTCGATTCAGTGGATCGTGAGGTTCTGTGGCAGTGTCTGTCATTGAAAGGTGTACCAAAGAAGTACATTAACCTTATACAAGCACTCTACTCGAACACCGCTGGTCGGGTAAGAGCATATGGCGAACTGCCATCTGAATTCTCTACATCAAGTGGTGTCCGTCAGGGCTGTCCACTCTCCCCATTCTTGTTTAACTTTGTCGTAGACATCCTCTTAGAGTTAACATTAAGCTCGTCAGATTTTTCAGGGGTTGACCTTCTACCAGGAAAAGAGCTTACTGATCTAGAATATGCCGATGACATAGTTCTATTCGGTGAAGACGCTGACAAAATGCAGAGTCTTCTGACTACCATAAGCAACAATGCGAGCATGTTCGGGATGCGGTTTTCCCCCTCGAAATGCAAAATGTTGCTTCAAGATTGGGTTGCATCGGTACCTGAACCAGTGATAGGGAGTGAAGTAGTCGAACGTGTAGATCACTTCACTTATCTGTGGAGTCTCATCAGTGCTGATGGCCTGGTTTGTGACGAAATCTCAGCACGGATACAGAAGGCTCGATTGGCTTTTGCCAACCTGCGTCACTTATGGCGTAGGCGCGATATCCGTTTGCTGACTAAAGGACGAGTGTACTGCGCAGTGGTTCGATCCGTCTTACTTTATGGCTGTGAAACATGGCCGTTAGGAGTAGAAGATGTTCGTAGGTTACTAGTATTCGATCATAGATGTTTAAGAAGCATTGCTCGTATATCGTGGGACAACCGAGTAAGCAATGCTGTCGTTAGGAAACGAGTTCTAAGTAGGGACGGCAAATCAATAGATGAAGTATTGAAACTTCATCAGTTGAGGTGGTTGGGACATGTGTTACGTATGCCGAACCACCGACTGCCTCGACGAGCTATGTTTTGTGGTGTAGGAGTAGGTTGGAAGAAAGCTAGGGGCGGCCAGACCAAAACATGGCACAAATCCATGAAGTCACTGACAAGTGGACTGAGTCATGTTGGTAGATGTAGACTACCTGGTTGGGGTCCGCGAGACGAAAGTCATCAATGGTTAGAAACCTTGAACGATATGGCTCAAAATCGTTTGCAATGGCGCAGGTGCATCCACTCTTTGAGCTCTCTCAAATCCTAATCTTCTGGATTAGCCAGCACCTCTACTTTTGTCTTTCTAACCTTATCTCACTGAATTATATTTTTTGAATAATATCTTAAACCCTAGTCTTCTTTATTATAACATTAATACCTCTACCATCTTTATCACTATGGGATTTGATTTGACATTTGCGTCTCTGTGTTAATGTGGTATGGCAACATGAACTTATGTACATACGTACGAAGTTCTACGTTGCAACTGACTGACTGACTGACTGAAGACCGGTGTCAGACAAGGTTGCTTACTATCACCCTTTCTCTTTCTCCTGGTCATCGACTGGATTATGAAGACGTCAACATCTGGAGGGAAGCACGGTATCAACTGGACAGTTAGGACGCAGCTGGACGATCTGGACTTCGCAGATGACCTGGCTCTTCTATCGCACACTCAACAACAAATGCAAGAGAAGACGACCAGTGTAGCAGCAGCCTCTGCAGCAGTAGGTCTCAACATACATAAAGGAAAGAGCAAAATTCTCTGATGCAACACAACATGCACCAACCAAATCACGCTTGATGGAGATGCCTTGGAGGAAGTTAACACCTTAACATATATGGGCAGCATCATCGAAAATGAAGGTGGATACGATGCAGATGTGAGGCCACGGATTGGCAAAGCAAGGGCTGCATTTCTACGGTTGAAAAACATCTGCAACTCCAAACAACTTTCAACCGAAATCAAAATCAGCATTTTCAATACAAATGTGAAGACAGTTCTACTGTATGGACCGGAATCTTGGAGAACTACGAAAGCTATCATCCAGAAGATAAAAGTGTTTATTAACAGTTGTCTTCGCAAAATACTTCGGATTCGTTGGCTAGACACCATCAGCAACAACGAACTGTGAGAGAGAACAAACCAGATTCGAGTGGAGGAGGAAATCAGGAAGAAGCGGTGGAAGTGGATAGGACACACACTACGAAAAGCACCTAACTGCGTCACAAGACAAGCCCTCACATGGAATCCTCAAGGCAAAATGAAAAGAGGGAGACCAATGAACACATTACACCGAGAAATAGAGAAAGATATAAGAAGAATGAACAAACATTGGACAGAATTGGAAAGGGAAGCCCAGGACAGAGTTGCTTGGAGAAAACTGGTCGGCGGCCTATGCTCCATTTGGTGGGGGTAACAGGCTTGCGTAAGTAAGTAAGTAGTAACTTATAATGTTAATCACAGTTAGTTTATGATTACTGTAACTAATTCCTTAAAACAAAAAAAAAACAAATTGTCATTACCTTTGATTGTAAACTCTTCACTTCATTTTGTAAACGTTTAATAATTTCATTGGCTTTATTTAATTCTTCCGTATTTGAAGTTAAATGTTTCTCTAAATTTTCTATATTACGACAATGTTGTTCTGATTTTTCTAGTAATTGTGTCTAAATATATAAACAAAAAAGAGAATAGTTTAATCAACTGTGTATAGTCTAATCAAATTGAATTGAATATGTTTCATTTCAGTCAGTGAGTCAGTTGCAACGTAGAATATATATATATATAGATATATAATTACCAGTTACGATTTGTCTCGAGGACCCTACCAGGTGGTCTGCATCTACTCACATACGTCAGTTCAGTTGTCAATGACTTCATCAATTGGTGCTATGTCTTTTTTACCGGTCTAGCTTTCATTCAACCTACTCACTCCAATAGTAGACAACATAGCCCATTGAGGTTGCAGTCATGTCTCACTTAAAGCATTTTTTATTTAGAACCATACAGCATGTAAAACATAATGCGACAAATAGAATAATTTAGTAAGAGATCCGCTGAAACTATGTAAAGCTGAAGAGATGAATTAACGACGACGACAAAATTTCAAAACTCTGTTAATTTAATGACAGTTACACTGTCAATCACAGTGACAAGTGGACTGAGTCATGCTGGTAGATGTAGGCTACGTGGTTTGCGTCTGCGAGACGAAAGTCGCCAGTGGTTAGATATCTTGAATGACATAGCTCAAAATCGTTTGCAATGGCGCACATGCATCCACTCTTTGTGTTCTCTCTAATTTCTAACCTTCTGAATTCCTCATCACTTTATCTTTCTCTTTCTAAATTTATCTCACTGAAGTATACTTGTCGAATCATATCTTCGCTACCTAATCTTCTCCATTACTGCTGATAATTCTACTATCACTGTGTCACTCTTGGATTTGAACTGACAGTTACGTCTCTGTGCTGATGGAGTATGGCAACCTGAACTTACGTACTTACGTACGAAGTTCTACGTTTTATCTGTCTGTCTGACTGACTGCCCTGTCTATTCTATTCTATTAGATATAGGACACTGATAATCAAATTCCGAATGACTATAGCTTAGCAATTAAGACCAAATGTATAAAGAGGTAAAACCAGGTTTATTTAGGGCGAAAAGAAAACAAACTTCACTTTTTTATAACATGAGCAAGCAGTTTAAAAAGACGACTAATACAATTCTTTTCAATCTAATTTCGTTGACAGATTTTAGTGTTTAACTTGTTGTTACAACACTATTTAGCCATATTATATAACATTAAACTTGAAATGATGTGGGGATTTAGGGGATCTAGGAATGTTATTTACTAAACAATAGAGCTATGCCAAACAAAAACACTTGTCTTTTATCATGTCAAAGCAGTAGATGTTGGTACGTACAAAGTTCAATGTTGAAACTGACTGACCGGCTGCTGTTCAATTTATTCGAACTTAACCATTCCTGCCTTGATAATGTATGTTTAAAAAGGGTCTCAGTTATTTGACCCAACAATGAAAGTCACTTTATACACTAGAAATAAATGAATATCAATAAGGTTAACATTATGAGACTTCGGGTAATCATTATCAAAACTTAAATCAATTCATTCTCTTACCACCAAACACTTCTACCTATTCAAACAAAAATAATGCTTTGTATAAATGTACATGTTTTAACTACATAATGAATCTACCAGATGATAGGACAAGCGAATTTACTGGTAGCGATTTGACTACTGTTTAGCACAATTTTAATAAGTCATTCAGCTACAACGTAAGACTTTGTACGTAAGTACATCAGTTCAGGTTGCCATACCGCATTACCACAGAGACGCTATTGTCAAATCAAATCCCATAGTGATAAAGATAGTAGAGATATTAATGGTAATAAAGAAGACTTGGGTTTGAAGATATGATTCAAGAAGTGTAATTCAGTAAGATAAATTTAGAAAGAGAAAAATAAAGATAACGAGGTATTCAGAAGGTTAGGATTTGAGAGAACACAAAGAGTGGATGCACTTGCGCCATTGAAAACGACTTTGAGCCGTGTCGTTCAAGGTCTCTAACCATCGATGACTATCGTCTCACCGACCCCAACCAGGTAGTCTACATCTACCAACATGACTCACTCCACTTGTCAGTGACTTCATGGATTTGTGCCATGTTTTGGTTTGGTTTGTTTGGTTTGGTTTCCAACCTACTCCTGCACCACAAAACAGCTCGTCGAGGCAGTCGGTGGTTGGTTAGGCATTCGTAAAACATATCCCAACCACCTCAACTGACGAAGTTTCGATACTTCATCTATCAACCTGCCATCCTTATCTAGCACCCGTTTCCTAACAACAGCATTGCTCACTTGGCTGTCCCACAATACTCGAGCAATGCTTCGGAGGCACCTATCATCGAAAGCCAGTGACCTACGAATATCTTCTACTCTCAATGACCATGTTTCACAGCCATAACGTAGAACGGACCAAACTATAATTCAGTGAGATAAACTTAGAAAGCTAAAGTTAGATATGATGAATAATTCAAAAGATTAGAATTTGAGAGAACACAAACAGTGGTTGTACCTGCGCCATGGTAAACGATTTTGATCCATATCGCTCAAACTACCTAACCATCAGTGACTTTCATCTCGCAGACCACACACACAAACAGGTAGTCTATATCGACCACGATAGGCAAGTCCGACCACCTCGTCATGGTAGCAGCTACGGTTGAGGAATTGTAGACATCAGTGAAAAAGTATACGACTAAGAGCTGATTAAACTAGACCGCAAATATTGAACTCAGAATTGAAAATGAAAAACAAGTTACGCAACATGTAAACTTATTATTATTATTATTATTATTATTATTATTATTATTATTATTATTATTATAATGATCTACAATTACCTTTTGTTCTTGTTGTTGATTTAATGAATTTTCTAAATTTAATAATTGTTTACTTTTCACAGTAATATTCTCTTCCAGTATGGACATTTTTGTTTGTAATTGATTTACGACTTCTGTTTGTAAATCATATGCTCGATTAATTGTATCCAATTGAGAACGGATGTCTTAATTAGTTGTAGAAAAAAGAAATTTAACACGTATAAACTACTGATAATCATAAACAGTAGTGTTAATAACAATTAAAATATTATAAAATGAAATTGAAAATAATCATTTCTTCACAGGAGAAGTTCTAGTTCATCGTAAATAAATTCCCCCTGGAAAATATCTGACCGATATGTATAGGACGAAGAATCCAATCATCTAGGTTAGACTAAACAACACCGGATATGAAAGTATTACGAGATGATATGTGGACTGGGGAGAAAGGCAACACAATGGTAAGAGATTTGTAAATTTATGTACTTTTAACAACAATGATTATGAATGGCCCCTCTACTCTTACTTATAAACGCATAAGCGAAACTACACACTACACAAAACCAAATCAACCACCACATTCACATCAATAAGAACTTTGTAAGGTTCATTTAAGACGTAAAAAATTAAGGGCAGGAAATAATTTAGCTTCAAATCATTTTCTGATGTTAACCAAGCTAAAAAAAATCTAGTGAATAGTTGGATAAGCATGACTACATGAGTTTTATATAGACAGTCGATACTACAAAATTCAGTGAGTTCAACATTAATCTCACAAACGAACTTCTAAGTCTACACATATTTAGAAAAAACCCAGATTACTATAGAAAGCAATTAAAAGGAGATTAACGAAGTAATAACCTGATCAAAAAATACCATTTCGTAGATAAGAGACCACCAAGTAAGCAATGCTGGTGTTAGGAAACGGGTTCTAGGTAAGGATGGCAGATCAGTTGATGAAGTATTGTAACTTCATCAGTTGAGGTGGTTGGGATATCTGCTACGAATGCCCAACTACCGACTGCCTCGACAATCTTTCTTTTGTGATGTAGGAGTACGTTGGAAGAAAGTTAGGGGTGGCCAAACAAAAACATCGCACAAATCCATGAAGTCACTGACAAGTGAACTGAGTCATGTTGGTAGGTGTAGGCTACGTGTTTGGGGTCTGCGAGACGAAAGTCACCAATGGTTGGAGATCTTGAACGACATGGCTCAAAATCGTTTTCAATGGTGCAGGTGCATCCACTCTTTCTGTTCTCTCAAATCCTAATCTTCTTTCTGGATTCGTCAACACTTCTACGTTTCTCCTTATAAACTTATCTCACTGAATTATACTTCTCGAATATCTTCGAACCCTAATCTTCTCCATTACTTTCTAATATTTCTACTATCTCTACCACTATGGGATTTGAATTGACAAAACTAAACCGGGATCTCATAAAAAGTTACTGTCCTCAGCTATATATATATATATATATATATATATATATATATATATACGCATGCACGTAAACACGTCACTTTAGAAAGACTTGAACTATTACGAATTTATCTTAGTCGGGATACAAGAGCGAGGATCGAGGATCCGGCCACACGACATGCTACTCAATCCGATTATCCCAACCCACATTGAATGAAAGGTTTTCTATGAAGTAAAACATGCATTCTGCAAGCATCCACAAAGTACGAGGTCCAAGTCCAGAAGAGAATCCCGACTCCGGACTAGGGATCTGGGACCGGGTCATAAAACGTTACAGATAATGCGTATTTATACATTTTGGTCGAATATGAAACAGCATCAAAGTCCGTGACATTGACAGTTAAGTCGACCAATAGGAAACAACATTTGATGTGATACTGATAGTCAGGACGACCAATAAGAAACAACATTTGGAGTACGTGACACTGATAGGAATTAGCCAATAGGAAATGACCAATAATTATTTTAGGATATTGGATGAATATCCTAATAATATACAAATCTTTGATATGATTCATTAATTAAAAACAGATAAAACATACTTTTGATTTCTTCATTGAGAGAAATATTTTCAGTTTCTGTAAACTTTAGCTTCACTTGAAGTTTTTCCACACGCGTTTGTAGAACAGATTGATGGTCTTGTAAATTCTGCACAAACCCAAAATAAAAAAAACTCATTTTTTTGTTAATTAATACGAAAATCAGTAACAATATGGATATGCATGCAAAACTGTGAATTTTGAAAAAAAATAAATCTGTCAATATCACAATACTTCAACACAGAGGGACAGAGAAATCAAATATAAAAATTTAAAGAACCGATAAATAGGGAGAGTTTTGTTCTTACCTAAACAGCGATACTTCAACATCATAGTAGTGGATTGGAAAACACAAGCAAGCGGGAACACCGAGATAACAGATCATCAAAATAAATCAAAATAAGTATATGAAAACAGCGAATTTTAGATGATTTGCATCAATTAAGAGTAAGCCCGACCGTAGCTACTACCCTGACAGGTAATGGTCCACCTTGACTATCACGATAACCCAACCGTGCTATATTGCTTGGAACATATATTGCTGTAGGTTCTGCGACGCCAGGCAGGTCGAGTGAACAACGGTATCACTAATAACAGCTACTCGAGATCTGAGGGTGAAGTCGTACTACAGACTGTAGAGGGGTGGGACAGCAGTAAGGTATTTCCTTCGGACAAACAGCATCTGCAGAGATGCTGCCTTCTCACAAGGAAGGTACGCTTAGAATAGGTCAACCCTAAAAATGTCACACATCACCTTACCTCACGGATTTCCGTCTCTGGCGATAAGGGTTCCCACTAAGGGCTTTTAAGAGCGTAGCTAATACTCTAAAAAATTTTAATAAAAAGTCCGTGTGTGACCGGCCTCAAGCAGTTGTTCCATGGGCTCTGCGATCACGCTCTCAGGTCGTTAAGACCAACACTCAACTACTCTCTTTTTCAAGTTCCTCAAGAAACACCGTAGGTAGACTAAGTGAAAAGGAGAGACACCTGGGTGGAACTTATGGTGTCGCGGCTCAGGGAACAGACAATGGTGACTGTCTGTTGCAACTGTGCTCAGATAACCGCCTATTTATAGCAAACACTAACTTCAGGCATGAGGAAAAACATCTTTTGACCTGGCGACCCCCAAAGTCGTCTCATCGTTGGACACAACTAGATCAAATCGCCATCAGCCACCGATGGAGAGGCTCGATAGAGGACTGTCTCTCGTTCTGGGACACGTATTTATATTCAGATCATGCCCTAGTGCGAGCGCGTATTTGTTTGAGGCTTATTGGACATCGGCAAGACACCGTAAGGAAGCCTCTTAGGGTTCTACTCAATGATAGCATAGCTAAGAATGTATTTCAGGAACAACTAGAAAACCGGTTAGGCGACCATGTAAGCGATTCCCATCCGGAAGCAGATTGGAATGATATTAAGAAGGCTGTGGAAACAGAAGTGATATCTGTTAGCAAGGTAAACCATAAGACTAGGAAGAAGCCGTGGATCTCAACAGCATCCACCAAGTTGACAGATGCTCGTAAACTCATCCCACCTGGCTCTAAACATGATGAAGAACGAAGTCAGCCTACGCGCAGGCTGATAAAAAGCCTATGCCATAATCGCAGTGGTAGGTGGCGAAAGCAAATGAGATGGAAAAGCAGCGGCGATAAGCAGTAGCAGACGGTTGTTCCGTCTTATCAAGGAAACAGGTATTAGGAATCTGATTGTAAGTGAGACTATCTCGGAAAAGGATGGGAGTACTATTCATTGTCAATCCAGGAAATCGGGTCAATGGACAGAACACTTTAGGGATCAGTTCAACTGGCCTTTAGCCACACTTCCGTTAACCGCGATCTCCAGTCATCTTGAATGCCAAGTCGAAGTAAGCCCTCCAAACCGTTATGAAGTTGAAAAAGCTACAGGAAATCTGAAGCGAGGGCGAGCAGGAGGTCCTGATAGACTGACCCCTGAGATATTTAAGGATGGTGGTCCAGTTTTAGCAGCTAGATTGACTGAGATCTTAGGTAGAATCTGGGAACTGGACGCAATCCCATCCGACTGGTCTCAATCACTGATTGTCCCAATCTATAAGAAAGGACAAAAGTCTTCTTGTGACAATCACAGAGGAATAAGTCTAACTAATATAGTATCTAAAATATTGGCCTCAGTAATACTTCGACGCTTAACGAAAGCTCGTGAAGAGCAGACTAGAGAAAACCAGGCTGGTTTTAGACCTGGACGTAGATGTATAGACCACATTTTCACACTACGTCAGGCCCTAAAATCTAGACACACATTCAGATGCCCCATAATAGTAGTATTTCTCGAACTTAAAGCGGCATTCAACTCCGTTGATCGTGAGGTTCTGTGGCAGTGTCTGTCATTAAAAGGTTTGCCAAAGAAGGACATTAACCTTTTACAAGCTCTCTACTCGAACACTACTGGTCGCGTGAGAGCTTATGGAGAACTGCCATCGGAATTAGCTATTTCAAGTGGTGTCCGTTAGGGATGTCCACTCTACCCATTCTTGTTTTACTATGTCGTAGACATGCTTTTGGAGCTAACATTATCATCGTCTGACTCTTCAGGAGTGGACCTTCTACCAGGTGGCTCGCTTATTGACTTAGAATATGCCGATGACATTGTCCTACTTGGTGAAGACGCTGACAAAATGCAGAGTCTTCTGACTACCCTAAGCAACAATGCAAGCATGTTCGGGATGCGGTTTTCCCCCTCGAAATGCAAACTGTTGCTTCAAGATTGGGTGGCATCGGTACCTGAAAAAGTGATAGGGAGTGAAGTAGTTGAGCGTGTTGACCGCTTCACTTATCTGGGGGTCTCATCAGTGCTGATGGCCTAGTGACTGACGAAATCTCAGCTCGGATACAGAAGGCTCGATTTGCTTTAGCCAACTTGCGTCACCTATGGCGCAGGCAAGATATCCGTTTGCTAACCAAAGGACGAGTGTACTGAGCAGCAGTTTGCTCCGTCCTACTATACGGTAAGAATCGAAGATATTCGTCGGTTACTAGTATCCGATCATAGGTGTGTTGGAAACATTAATCGTATGTCCTGGGACAATCAAGTAAGCAATGCTATAGTTAGGAGACGAGTACTAGGTAGGGATAGATCAATAGATGAAGTAGTGAAACTTCATCAGTTGAGGTGGTTGGGACATGTGTTGCGTATGCCTAACCACCGACTGCCGGGACGAGCGATTTTTTGTGGTGTAAGAGTAGTTTGGACGAAAGCTAGGGGCTGCCAAACCAAAACATCGCATAAATCCATGAAGTCACTGACAAGTGGACTGTTTCGTGTGGGTAGGTGTAAGCTACCTCGTCGGGGTCCGCGAGACTAAAGTCACCAATGGTTAGAGACCTTGAACATCATGGCTCAAAATCGTTTGCAATGGCACAGATGCATCCACTCTTTGTGCTCTCTCTAATTCTGAACTTATGAACAACTCATCATTTATATCTTTCACTTTCTAAATTTATCTCACTGAATTATACTTCTCGAATCATATCTTCGAACCCTAATCTTCCCCGTTACCGCTAATACTTCTACTATCTCTACCATTATTGGATTTGAACTGACATTTGCGTCTCTGTGCTGATGCAGTATGGCAGCCCGAACCGATGAACGCACGTACGAAGTTTTGAGTTGTATCCAAATATCTATCTACCTAATAGCAGCTACTCAACATCTGAGGGCGAAGTCGTACTACAGACTGTAGAGGGGTGTGGCAGTAGTTGTAGTAGTTGAGCAGCCAGCATCTGCAGCGATGCTGCTCTCTCACAAGGAACGAAAGGATTTGAAAAGGTCTATCATAAAAATGGCACACCTCACTTTACTACACGGATTTCCGTCTGCAGCCACAAAGCCTTTCGAAAACAGTCGAGCAAATACTTTACAAACTTATGTAGCAGTAGACTGGAAGAAAGCTAGCGCGGCCTAACCAAAATATCGCACATATCCGTGAAATTACTAACAAGTGGACTGTGCCATGTTGTAAGTGTACACTAGCTGATTGGGGTCTGCGAGATGTTAGTAACCGATGGTTAGAGACTCTGAATGTCGTGGCTCAAAATCGTTTGCAGTGGTGCAGATACATCCACTCTTTGCGTTTTTTCTTCAAATTCCAACCTCAATTCATCATTGCCTTCATCTTACTCTTATCAAATACATTTCACTAGATTATATATAAATTTAAGTTATTCGACTTGATAATGTTTCGGTATCATAAAGACTTTTCATCTACCAATTATTACATTCAAGTGTCTTAGTTAAACAATATGTTTCTCTAAAATATGTAGACGGGTTAATATTTGACATGAACAACTGGGAGAATTTTAATCAGTTGTATGCGCAGTTAATTTCTTAAAAAAATAGATCGACAAAGATCGGATCATTCACCACATATTGTGTAATTCAACCAATAAAAAACCAATTTATTTGCCATAAAGAAATTTGTCAGATACTCACTTTGTTCTTGTTCAATGCCAAATCCAAGCGACTTTTAAAGTCTTTATGAAGCTCCTCTTGCATCTGGTTGGCTAAATCTTTTTCTTTACAAATAGACTCCTCCAACTTCATTCTTACCTAGGAATTTATAAACATTACCAAAATGTCAAACCTCATCATGTCTCGACTGCAACTCCTTCATAGCCAACTCATTTTCTGCCCGAAGATTATTCTCTTTAGTTGAGCATGCTATTTTGAACGCTTCAAACTCATTTATTACACACCTCGTACCCTAAAGGTGTTAAAGAGAAGAAAAGACATACCTCTTCTGCAGATTTTAGAGATAACGTCAGCTCCGATACAGAATGGTTGAGCTGCTTAATAATTGTTTCACTTTCAGCCTTAAAATATGAATGAAATCTGTGGAAGTACCTTATATTTCTTTAAACTGTTAACTAGATACAGTTTGAGCTTTTCGTCATCTGCTGCATACAGATTGAGGCTTAAATGGTGGAGATACTTAAAATTGGTGGCTTCAATTATCTGTAATAAACCACTATCTTTTTCATCAGTGTTTCTGGAAAATCGGAGTCCATATCTAAAGTAGGTTAACAGACACAAGCAGTTTACTTAGGACGCTCAGTCGTCTCGTCTTGTAAGCAAATACGTAATAAATCTGCCACTTTTTGTTCAAACTCATTGAAATTAATGAGCAAACCTTGTTGCTGCTTAATTCTATAAAAATAACATGACACTTAAAGTGGGAGCAATACATACTTGGCAAACTCATCTGCCGTAATTCTTATGGAATAAAGAAAATATAAGTCGTCATCAGCTGTTAATCTTATTTCCAAGTCCTAGATTCACGTAAATATGATATAGCGTAGAATTACCTTCATTGTGTCGGAACGACCTAGATCGATATCTATATTAAAGCGCCTAACAACAATTGGAAAAAATTGACTGGAACATTACCTATTTTTCCCTTCAAAACACACCAAGTGGCGACCTGAATAGAACATTAGGCCATAAAAATTGTTGTTGTATATAGCTTTTTCTACAAACTGGAGACTGGTTGCTTTGAGGAATATTAACCAAAGTATGTTTTTGTAGCAGTCTGAGCAAGTGAAAAGGTTGCTTGGCACGATGATTCAGTAAGTACATAGGAGCTACTTACATCTACGAATGAAAGATACTAACGACAACTAACTATGTACCGACGAAGAATGCTGTATACAGCTAACACAACAAATTTCGCGCCAGAAGCATCCAATGTAATCATTGATTAACAACTTTGACCCAGCAGTTTAGAAATTTAAAACAAACATCTGAGTCATAACCTGATTCATAAGCTTACTTATAATTTGACCAATCTCCGGACTCATTTCGATCTGAATTAACTGATTTGTCCTCCATTGTTTCTTCGTGTCAAGCGGGTCCAGGTCTCCAGCAACGTCCAGTCAAAGTAATCTTTTCACTCAGCTGTAATAATCTTGATGAACAAGGGAGTTACCTTGGACCCGATGCGTCTTGAAGATCATTCAATACTTTATATGTGTGAACGGAAAAACTTCTTTCACCAGCAGCTACAATGTCACAGAACAGTCGATCCTGAACGAAAAATTCTCCGTGATATAACCTGGAACAAATGAGTTTCCATGAAACGGCGATCACACTATGTCCAGATGTTGAACCAGTACATCTGTCTAATGACAGCACCGCAAAAGCTCGAACCATAAACTTAGTCGCAGAACTTATTCTTTACCTCATCCAGGCAACAAAGCATCCTACTATCATGAATATAACGAGAAAACATTGTTTTACACACCCTATCCTTCCTAATATGTTTATACATCTTATTTACTATCAGCACATGGTACAATACTGATGTCAGTGAGACTCCAATGCAATGCAACAGAGTTCCTGTGGAACAATTTTTCCGGACCGTGAGTGAATTCACGTCATCCTACTAAAACGTGGGTACCTGAAATATGGCAAACATCGGTAGCGAGACATTAGTCATAATGGCAAATGTCTTACTCGATTTGCCTCAAAGTATGACGTCAAGTACAGAAATTTTAAAAGAAGTGGACCGTTGTAGAATTTAATTCAATTTAATGAATTTAATTCAATGAAAACCTTTGATGAGTGACCATTCACACTAAATTACTCGGTTTGTATGCTTCTGTCTGACTGAGACTTTAGGGTAACGAACTCCACCGAATGCTTCGAGTTTTCCAATAATGTTTTAGTTGTTTCCCAAACAATTCGAAATGCTTTAGAAATAAAAAGAACCATTTTTTAGTCTGAACTAGGGAGTTAACTAGGTCAGCATGCTGACAACACTCACATCGGAAGCAATATCGACGTTTGACGGTCAGCGGCTGACAACATCTTGATACGAACGAAACCCTCGAGCAGACTTGTACACTTTCATCAAACGTGGTACACATATGATATCTGGCTACATATAAAAGGGCAAGTTCACTGCAGGGGGCATTATTCTGTCTTCGTTTATGGCAGCTCTACACCTCTTGATGGCGAGGGACAAAGGTAGGTCGTTCAGTGTTACGATGTCCGTTTACAGCATCTTGTAGGCTTTTAGTATCGAATTCGGAAATCACTGTCACAAATACTTGGTAAACCATCGCTCTATCACACAAGATAAGTCTACTTTAACATCACACGTGTAGCGTGCTATACAGTCGAGAAATCGAACAGTACATAAACATGCACAAACACTTAGTAGTTTTGTGCCTTTATGAAAATACTAAGCCTCATCGTTATGCATGATGCCAGTGATGTACTAAAGATGATGGAACTAGAAAATCACAAAATATTGCTGGCATAGTGAACTCTAACAGATACCGTTAATATTATCCAAAGTGATATTTCCGCACTCCACGGTTGTTGACAAAATGAAAGAAGATATATAGCATGCGTGCTTTGAGAGTAAACCACTACTAACACCACCAATGTAAGTGGATTTTCTACCGTAGCAGTTCAATTTGTTTCCAGTAAGTGCAAGTCGAACGCGCTATCTCCCAACCCAATGTCAAAAACACAATAATTCTAGGAGAAAGCGGTCTATATTATGTTAAAAATGGAAATACAAATCAATACCTGACTTTTGATGCACTTTCCAAGTCCCAATTACTCTGAGGAGTATCCGAGTTTAAAAGGAATAAGTGATGTTAAATCCAACCGCCACAGTATCAATCCAAATATGGCTGTAGCCATATTAAAGATCAAATTTAAACAACGTATATATAGTTCAGAAGCAAACATAAAAACTTCAATATAAGTACAAAATATAGAAATAATAACAATATACAATGATAAAACCTCAAATCGGAATCAAATAAAATACCAAAATGTCAACAGAAAGAGTCCGTCATGTCATAACAAAAATATATAAACATGGAGGGATTTTCCAAAAATCAAAACATTCAAAAAAGATTCTACAACTAACACTACCAATACTGTTATGACTTTTTTGACTAGTATTGTGGGGAGATATATTCTTAGTTATACTCAAACCTGAATGCGAATGAGCATCATCTTCAGACTCTGAAAAACATCAGCTGGACTTTGGCGAACTTTCAAATGTGATGGCTTTTTAGAACCAGACAATGATATCATGTGTGATTGGCTAGTATCAGTATATTGTTTGATGAAACTGCATAATTCGGGGTCATGAAACTAAGCCAAAGGTATCTCACCGTTTTGGTTTGGTAGCAGGGGGTCAGAACTCGAAAAATACGCAAACATTTTGATCGCTCAGAAATATGAAGTGCTGTGTCACCGTTCACGTTTGCAATCCCAGGATCAGCTCTGTGCCGTAGCAAATAATCTACCATACGTGGATGGTTCCGCACACATGCTTCGTGCAATACAGTCCAACCTGTTTCATCCAGTTCGTTTATGTTCACCCCCTCCTTCGCCATTTGTTTAATCGAATCGAAATCCAAATTCCCTGTTAAACGACTTAAACTCACATCTCGAACAGTTAGAGGATGTCTAAAATCACATTCATCGGATCCTTCTTGTTCCCTAACTCTTTTCCTTTCTTCCCTCATCGTTATCATCGAAGTTGCCACCTTGTCTTCTACAGATACGAACTTGTCACTAGAATAGACGTCAACAAGCTCTACATCATAAGGCTTACGTATTTGGTCTCCCGGTGTCTGTACTTTACTAATATGATTAACAACTCTTTTTCTAAATTCTGGATAACATGCAGGGTAAATAACAATCCATTTTAACAACCTTTTCACAGCGTGTGGATTTTTTCTTCCACCTAACCTCTGGACCAACACCCAATGCGCTTCTGGCACATCGCAACCAATCACCATTAGAACATCTTCAGAGTCAAAACTCTCTACCGGTACATCAATTAAGTGCGGCCACTTAACTAAGTTCTTCATTGCCGACTTCGTTGGCTTATGCCCTGGTATACTTTACGCAATGAAATCTCCTTCATTCACAACATGTTCAGACCAATCTAAAGAGTGTTCCTCAAAGGTAACATTCGTAACCGTTGTCGTTCTGTTACCCCCTAAAGTCTGAACTACCACTGACGCTTGGTCCTCCTTCAGCCCGAGTGACTTCAAACAATCTGATTTTATCAACGTTGTATTAGAGCCGTTATCCAAAAGAGTATATCCTATTATTTCGGATTTTCCTGATCTTAACCGTACAGGAATGATTCCTAAGCATCCTCGGCTGCTTAGTGATCTAGTAAATCCACAGCAATTCTGTATATCAGGTTTGTCATCCAAAATTTTGGCGGTTAATTCCTCGTGTAGCAGAGCGTGATGTTTGTTTTCTCACTTGTCAAGATTACAACGGTTTGTCAGTTTACATTCATTAGCCTTGTGGTGGCCATTTTCAATGTGTTCTTGATCCTCGTAATTAGCTCGTCTAGGCAATCAGCACCAAATAACGCCTGACGATTATATACCAGAAGGCAAATACAATGTGTCGATTTCGTTTATTTTAGCACACTACAAAAATGGGACAGCGGACCATAAGCACTCAAAGATAAAATAGTCATGCGAGCGCTGGAAAGCAAGCAAACGAGCGAATTGGCAAATGAATGAATGAAGCAAAGGGGAGAAGGCTAGTGAGCCAACTCCGAGAGACAAAGCATGACTAAGAATTTATAGTCAGGCAAAAATTAAACAGACATGTAGTAAGAGAGTAGGCATGCAAACACATTAATACAAGCGACGAATGAGTGACAACATCAAAAGACAAGTGGTACAAATCATGTGAGCTAGACATTGAATGACTCACTATAGCCTTACGCCCTTGCTTCAGACAGATGAAGCATATACCCTTTCTCCTTGCGATTGACCGAACAACCGTTTTAGAATTCCCTTAGCCCTCTTATAGCCAGCAGAGGCTCCCATCATGACGCAACACTCAATGGCTGCTCTTGCCTTACCCTCGCAGTGGTGTATCAAATAGAGCAACTGCAGACTCTCATCGCTGACTCTTGATTCTACAAACTGAGGTTTAGATTGAGGAATCACGGTCGAGGCAATTAAGATGCTCGTCTTGCCCATGTCAAATCCAGAACAAGTGATTTGGGTAAGTAACGGTTCTATTAATAATCACAAATATAAGTACACACAATTACATAAACAATATTACCACTCGGTTATTCCTCTAATGATAACACAGAGTGTTTCCAATTCTGGGAGAATACTCCAATTCACAACCAAAATGCACAATTCCAGCCAGTGCAGCCAAACGAGGGACAAATCAATATAGCTGTCGCCATAACTAAGTATCAGCCTAAACAACATAATAATAATAATAATAATAATTTATTCTCAAATAACTAAGTTACAAGAGTCACGCCAGTTTACAGGCTAGATCAAATTGTCACAAATGCTTTTACAATTACTGTAAAAGTTATAGCAGTTAAATTAAGTATAAGAGACAGTTTCTGATTGCATATTTACACCATATCACTGACAGAAACAGTATTATACAGCCACATTTTCAATATTAGAGTACAAATGAGGAAGGTGCACAATAGGTTCTATTGGCGATTGGCCGAGATCAACAGTGAATTTGTTGGGAAAGGTCATATGGAACGCGCTTGATACGAGCATACGAACATAATGCAGTTCAAAAAGAAACATAGAAACTCAATAAAGGCAAAAGAAATAGAAACTATACTAAAATACAAATATTATCATCTCGAAATGGAATTGAACAGATTTGCAAAATGTACAACTGAATGAATC